ATATATGGAGATCGTTGTTATTCCATTCCGTCTTCGAAAAAATCAGTTGATATAGGTTGTGTGCTTGTACTCAAACTGAGCTTGACTTGAGGACATGTTAGTTTGTTATGTCCCTCACCGTTGCAGTACCCACATCGTCTAATTTTCTTCTCGACCTTGTTCTTCGGTACTTCTTTTCGCTTACGTTGTTTTCGTTGAGGGTCACGAACGTTGTTTACTACAATGCTCTGGTTGACTGAATCATTCAAACCAAATGAGTTTTCTAATTCTTCTATTAGTTTTTTCATCTCATCTCTTGCGGTTTTGAAAGACTCGTCTATCTTTGATGCAATGTAGCATAACCTACTTGACGTTGAACGTAGAGCAGCGAACCTTGCCATTTGCATCACTTCTGGAGACATATTCATGTCAACATAACTTAGTGCAGAAGCCTTCGCATCGTTAGTCCACCTACTTTGAATCAAAGTCCCGGGCAAATATGTGTAATCCAAGTGCTTCAAAATGTGAAGTTGATGGCGACATGGAAGTCAAACGGTCTCGAATTTTTTGCAGGAGCAAATTAGAGTTTTCGTACGAGAATCAAAACTAATTTCAAATTTCCTATTTTTTTCTGCGTACTTTGACAAAATATAATGTTGACATTCATCTGATAAGGACTTAATCTCTGTCTCAATCTGGTACAATGTCTCCCGTATAAGTTCATCTTGGAACGCACGAAAACATTCGCGGGTAAAAATCGCAGCGACATGGCTTTCAAGGTCGACCAATTTTGTAATCTGGAAGGGCTTCGTATGGGAACTTAACTAATCCGCTTTTAACTCGTTCATACACATTCTACTAATTCCATCTTTAATTGCACGAACAACATCTAAATATGTCTTCTTGTGTTTCAGTGCAATCGCTAGTGAAGCATTCATAGACTCGCACATTTATGTTGAGTGAATATTGGCAAAGAAATGACTTGATAGATATGCTTGTGCCCATAAGTGTCATGTATTTCCCTTATCAATCACCCATGGATTCTTTTGGACGTTGAATTCTGAAACAACTGAACACCAATGAATATCAAATTCCTCGGTTGTCCACCAGGAAGCCATGCATTTTGAGAATGCTGCTGTAAACTTTGGGTCACCAATGTTAGCTTGTGCATTGCGAGAAAGATGCCAAGAACATAATCTGTGCTTAGCATAAGGGATAACATATTTGATAGCCCTCTGCATTGCCCTATCCCCATCGGTGACAACTTAAATAGGTGATTTATTCATCATGGCTTCTAAAAAATTCTGTAGCACCCACTCGAAAGATTGAGACGTCTCGTCAGCGATTATGGCAATGGCAAACACAATTGTGTTATGGTGACGATTGACACCGACAATAGGCATAATTGGTCGACCATATAAATTATCTGTGTACGTTGTGTCGAACGCAATTACATCACCGAAGCATGTGTAATCCGATCTTGATGTAGAATCTGACCAAATAAGATTATACAATGCCCCCGATTCGTCTACCGAGTATGTCATAAAAAACTCGGGATCATCATGTTTCTTATAATCAAAGTAGGCAATAAGCGCATTCATATCCCCATCGACGATTTCCTTTGCTTTACCTCTTTGAAGTGCATTGTAGAGGTCTTTATATGTAAATCCAACATTATGATAGCCCCCTGCCTGCTGTGTTAAATAGTTCATTACTTGTGACGTGCCAACACCGACCTCTTTCAATGTTGTTGCCTCATCGATATCATCCTTACTTACAGCTCTATTAGAACGCATAAATGGTGTCATAGCAGGTGTGCACAATGCATAATTATGTTTCTGATCAGACTTTTTAACCCACTGATCGTTTGTATTTGTTGCTGTAACTAAGACTCTAGCCTTACATCCTGTTCTTGTGACTGGCGTATGAGCACGTTGACGATCAACAATATTGACTTTTGATACTCGAAACCCTTCTTTGGAACAACAAAATTCTTGTGTCTTCACATTCCCTTCCACGTCAAGTCGTGTTGTTCCCTTACGTGCTCTAAACCCATGTTCCCATGCGAATCTCTTGTAAAAGTACCAAGCTTGATCACTTGAACAGAAGAGCTGACCAACCAATCTGTCAGATTCATCAACATTATGTACTTCATGGCATTCCTCGGTTGGCTTAACATTGTCTACACCAGTATGATCTATGGCAAAAATTTTGTTGTGCAAGTTCAGTGGTCCCGGAGTTGATGGAGATGTAAGCAAAGGTTTATTTTGAACATGTTTCAGTCGTGCTGCTTTCAATAGGATGTGGTATTGGTAGTGTTAGTTAAAGGGTGGGTACAACATTAAATTCGTAGTACATATTTAGGTATGTACAATAACTACCTAAATATGTGTCAATACATTTTCTACAAGTATCGGCCCAAAAAATATCAAAACCAATAATTATAATGTAATAGGTAAATTAACATATCATGTAAATTTCACCTTTTTTTCCATAATGTTACCTGATATGTTGAAAGTATTGATCCTTTTTATAAAAAAGATCGATACTTTACAATATAATAGGTAAAAATATGATGTAATAGGTAGCGCTTATATTGTAAAGTATCTATCCTTTTTATAAAAGTGTCCATACTTATTTCACTGTGGAAAACATTAATTTAAAGTTATCTTTTGAGTGAGTTTTAAGATATATCAATTTAGTAATTATACGCGTCTAATGATTTATTTTTTATGTTATGGTATATTATTATTAAATTAAAAACAATAAACATATATATTACATATTTATTATTATCTTTGGTTAATATTGTTAAATTTAAATTCTAAATAATATTTTATAAAATATCAAAAAAATCAAATAATTTTTTGTGTAAATGAAATTATTAAATTAATATTGTAGGTGGAAAACATGAAACACTATTAAAAATTTTTGAAACATAAATTACATAACTTTAAAAAAAGTATCGATTCTTTTTACAAAAAGTATCTATACTTTCAACATATTAGGTAAATTTTATCGGTTTTGTCATAATAAAACTGATTTTGTCATTTTTTACCTGTTATATTGTAAAGTATCTATCCTTTTTATAAAAAGATCGATACTTTAATATATCAGGTAAAGCGCTATCGGTTTTGTTATTTTTTTTACCGGTTTTGTTATTTTTTTACCTGTTATATTGTAAAGTATCAATCCTTTTTATAAAAGGATCGATACTTTTAATATATCAGGTAAAGCGCTACCGGTTTTGTTATTTTTTTACCGATTTTGTTATTTTTTTACATGTTATATTGTAAAGTATCGATCCTTTTTATAAAAGGATCGATACTTTCAATATATCAGGTAAAGCGCTACCGGTTTTGTTATTTTTTTTACCGGTTATATTATCGATCATTTTTATAAAAGGATCGATACTTTCAATATATTAGGTAAAGCGCTACCGGTTTTGTTATTTTTTTTACCAGTTTTGTTATTTTTTTATCGGTTTTACCGAAAATGTTAAAAAATATTGATGTTTTAGGTAGAAATAATAATTTTTAGGTATTTTTTATGGATTTTGTTATGCCCAACAATAACAAAACCGGTAAAAATAAACTTTTTAATAATAAAATTAGTAAACACAAATTATACAAATTAATTTTAATTTTTTAATTTGTATGTTGCCACAATATAACTAATGAAAAAAGGACACGATATTTCTATTTCGATATTAACTTTCTAATAATAAAATAAAAAAATTATATATAATTACAATATAATTTAAAAAATAATCATAATGAAGTGATGGAAAATATTCATAATTACAATATAACTATAAACATCAAATACAATAAAATAATATTATTTATTAACAAAATAATAATATTATTTTTAAAATATTAGAATAATTTATTTAATATTATCTATGTCAATATTATTATTAAAATATCATATCTATAATTTTATAAATAAAAAATTATGATTATTATATTTTATTAAAATAAATTTACAATGTTATCGGTATAAATATACCGATTTTATGATAGAATATGTCAATATAAGCGTTACATATTACATTATATAAGCACTACCTAATATGTTATTGTGCTTGATAACGTTTCTTGTAATTAACTTATTTTATTATATAAGAGCTACCTATTACATTATATAAACGTTACCTAATATACTATTGTGCTTGATAATGTTTCTAGTAATTAATCTATTTTATTATATAAACGCTACCTATTAAATTATATAAATACTATCTAATTTATTATTTTACTTGATAATATTTTCGATTGAATGATATAATATAATCGATCTAAATTTTAATCGATCATACTATTTTTTAATCATTTTTTAACCGTCACACGGCAGAACTAAAAAAATGCACCAGTCCACAATGGTAACAATTGTGCCTCTTTAGAGTAAAGCCAAACACCTGCCAGCAGTCAGTGCAAATTGACTGGTCAGCACCAAAGGTCTATTTACGGATGCATATATAGAAAATTAAAATTAAAATGACTTTGAATTAGTTTTCATACACCGAATTATGTAAATGAAAATGCCTCGACTGCTTTCTTTTCTGCCCCAAGGGTTTCATATAGATTTGGATTATTTTTGGACATATATTACAAAATAATCTTGATTAATTTATTATTTTTATAATTTTAGTAAAAAAAAAATTATTCAAATATTAGTGATTATTTGTGTAATTTATTCTTTTTAATTTTATATATTTACTGTATCACATCAATAATATGTTAAAAGTCTAACATTACTTTATTCTCAATGATCACATATTTATTAAATAAAAAATAAAAAAGATTAAATTTTATGTTTTTTAAATTTAATAAAAATAAGTGTACAAAACCTAAATAAAACTGAAATAAAATTGATTAATCATATAATTTACCGATTGAGCCCAAGCTCTATATTCAGCCGTCAAGATATGCCCAATACACAATTTTGTCTCCACTTCACCAAAAATTAGAGTTTTGAAAAAGCATGTTAACAGAACTTCCGAACGGCCAATATAAAATTCAAGAGAAAAGAGAAATTGTTTCATCACAATGCAAGTTAAAATTAATTGATACTAGAACATTATATGTAAAATAGAACTGGAAAAATGAAATTTCAGGCCTTACTAAGCTGAGGAATACTGCACTGATATTCAGAAAAACTTTACGGTTATGGTCAACGAAGTTTGCCAGCCTTGTATTAACACATTTACTCATGTTTCAGTCTATGAATTAGTAAATAACATGATTGAGAACTTCCTAGTTGGTGCAGTATGTGAAACAAGAACTCCATAATAGTATGGTAACCAGTGATAAAGTAACCACAGGAGATCAATGGTAGTTTTTGCTGCACAGTACATTGATTTTGATGCTTGGAAGAAAATAAAAAAAAAAACTGGAGATTAGGAATGTGAAACTATGAAACCTAAAGATTGATAACCCCTATTCTTTCTTTAAACTTATCCTATAGATTCTGAAGTAGCGATGGACTCCTTTTTTTTTTTGTCGACAGAATTTGATTCTTGAAGGTTCTGAAAACCTAACCTTTAGCATTTCAATTTTTATATTTTGGACAAGATGCATAACAAATAAGGAACTTATACCAGAATTATAGGTATCAAGAAGTTCTGACAATAATCGCCAACTTAACAAAAAGAGAATCTCTATGGTAGCTATTTATGCCAATCAGTCATCCTATTATTTCATGCAGTTGAAACATAATGATACGAGGGAGGTGTCAAAGCTAGTGCATTAGCATCGACATGGATACCTTAACATAAATGTTATGCAGAACCTGCTTACAAGGAAAAATGGGAAAAAATCCCATGCCAGAGAGGCTCACCTCTGAAAGATTCTCTTAAAACCTGTAATTTGGCAGCAAATATTACAGTTAGAAAACAATAAATGCCTACAGAAAAGTTATTCTAATACAATTTGGAGGATCAGTTTTTGTAGCATTAACTTCTCCATTCTTGAATAAACAGCATTTTTGTTCATTGCTAGACGATCATTTTGTACGCTGCTGAAGTTTAAAAACCCAAGCAACTTCTTTTGGAAGTAGTGATGCCAGAAGAATTTTCTTCTTTCCAGGAAATACTCGATGGAAATATTACTTTCCCCAAGATCAAAGGAAGCAAAAGTGTGAGAAGAAGACTTCTAAGAAGCTCTGCAGTAGGTACATGCACACCAACTCCATCAGCTATGAATTTTGAGATGGAAAATGGAATCTGAAAATCATATAATCCATAAAAGTAAGCTTCAATAAAATCTATCATATACTTAACACCAACAATAAAGCATAAAAATCATCATCGTCGTCATTTTTAAAAACATGCATATACATATCACACCTTGCTAAGTGAGCATATTTTTTCGCATATTACGTCTTGAGCAATATAATGGCTACAATGTCTAAAGTGCACCTTGCACCCTTGTCAATCCAGATCTTACTGATATTTTTTTCTCTCAATAGTTTAGTTCTAATATGAAAGACATCCTCGTGAATGTAACTGATGGTAAGTAATAATACTTCTAGACATTACAAAATTCACTTGATATAACCAGAAATATATTTGCTTTGCCATTACATTTTTCCATTTCTCCCTAATAACTAATATAGATTTATATATACACACACACACACATATACCTACATGTATATTTATAATCAGGGTAATTCACGCATTCAAATTATGCATGGAAAGGACACATCAGACAACAATGATCAACATCAATAGAGCAGAACAATTAAATACCATAGAGACATGGATAACACTAACAATCAGGCATATCATTCACTGAAAAAAGTCCATCAAGATTTAAATGGGGAGCAAGGTTATATCAAACATCCAATCAATTCTGGTAGTAAAGTTTAAAATTCTACAGGAAATCAATGATACAACTTTTTGATACGCAACTTACAATCAAGATTCCCAGCATGTTAGATACCACTGTCATTGCAAGAGCAATTGCCGTGTTCCCCTCAGCAAGCTGCGTATAAAAAATTAAGGCCTTCTTCAAACACAAAGTCAAAGACATCAAGGAATTGGTTTAGACAATAAAGAGCTCTGCATGCCTGAGTAAGTACACCTCCCAACAAAAGAGAAGTGCAACTTTTTAGCCCATTCTAGAACTCTGAGGAAGCTCCAAGTAAAAGCCGTTTTCTCAACTAAAGCAGCTTTAAGTGGTTAAAGTAGATAATGAGTTTCCCCTCCGACTTCCGACTCTCACTTCCCTTTAGTTTTATCACTCACTCAGAAAAAGGAATCCATCCTTTCCATTGATTTTCATTTTTTGGCTACATTTCCGTTTATCTGGAACACTATGTAGATGGTGTAGTAACTCAAATTAAAAATTAGAAATCTGCTTTAATTGGTATAATTGACAGAGATAATAGCAGAGAACACACCGCACCTCCCAAAATAATAATATTAATAATAATAATAATTACGTGAAAGAGAGAAAAGCGAAACACAAAATGAGAAATGAACCTACAAAATGAACAATGGCAATGGCACATAAGAAATTTGAGGTCATACTAGCCCAAAAAGTCCTACAGGCCACGCTTTGGCAGCAGCACCAATTGCATCACTGCGTAGGGTCAAACCTGCATAATTGATGGCTTATCAGAGATGTGCATCATAAAAAAATATCATTACCACGAGATAGAAAGCAGCAATGCTAAAATCTTACCTGAGACAAAAAATATCCCAAATCTGCTAAATTTTGACAATTGATAATTATCAGCAAGACAGCCAAGGGTAGGATTTGCAAGTCCAAATGCCACTCCACTAGTAAGTGCTGCTTGTAACATCCCAAACTCAACCAAGTTCTTGTTATTTTGGAGAATGAAAGTAATCATCTCACAAAAAGAAGGCATTAGAAAAACAAATTTTAAAGCCAAGGAAAATTTTCACGATTATAGGAAAAGAAAAAACTTAACATATTCACATATTTCTCTTTGGGTTCAACTGTCCAAGTCACCTTTCAGTAACATGAATCATCACCAGTCATTAGCAGGAACGAAAAGAGCATATTTTTATCCACCTACTATAATCAGTTCTCGAGGCGTTATTACTAAATAGTGAGGATTGACTCAAGTTTTCTTTTAGCCCATATATTGAGCAAAATTTTATTCCCTTAGGTGATAAAACTAGGGGAAACATATGTTAAGTTGCCAATGAACAAAAACTACAAAACGCAAAACCCGAGCACTAACATTGCCAACGAACAAAAATGAAAATGCAAGATTAAAAATGACAATAAAATTATAAAAACCAAAATCGAAGTGCCAATGAAAAAAAAAACCTTCATTACCTAGGGGAAGGAAATTATTGGAAGCAAAATTTATCAAAGGCTTTGTCCAATTCAAACCATTGGCCAAATATGAACCACGAATCTGCGAATCAATTCAAACTTCATAAGTTGCAAAAGGATAAAACGTGAAAAGTAATAGTGAAAGTGTGACTATAAGCTTAAATTTCAAAGGGGACCTCATCGGACGGTTTACATGATCTGATCAGCGTTGAAATGGAACGAGGAGGAGGATTGAATCTGAGGGAGCGGCTGAAGAGACTTCCGGAGAGGAAACGGCGTGTTGACGGCGGAAGGAGGCGTCAAAACAAGGGATCTGATGGTTCCCGCCATAGATCTCTCAAACAATATAGTGGAAATTGTGGTGCAGGTGCTTCAACATTCAGTCAACGATTGTAAATTCTTTCTGCCTGCCTCGAAAGTAACAGAAATTCCATTTAAAAAAAATAACTAATGGCCCGCTTATCATTGGGTTCAGGATCAGCGGGCCGGGATCCGGTTTAAAAATTTTTAAATTTTGTTCGGCCCAACATGACTATTGTATATATAATATTTTTAAATATGAATTATTTAATTTAAAATTTGAGTAATTAAATTTCAGAAACATTATATCCAAAACTCTACTACTGCGAGATCAATTTTATAGATTTATTAAATAATCCGAACTTGTTCATAGATCTATTAAGTCATTCGATTTATTAATAGATTTATCTAATATTAAATATAAATTATTTTATGAAAATTATTAATAATTTTATTTTTCTTTTAGCTTATATCATAATTTCATAGACAATTCTTTTATCTACCTCAAAAAGAAACCATTTTTATGACTAATATGCAGCAATTCAGTAATTAGGTTGGGATTTTTTTGTTTATTTATTTAAATTCGAAGCATACAATATTTGAGTTTTTTAAAATTTTAAATTTTATAGAGGTAAATTATTTTAATTTCGAACATATAAATTTTAACTAAAATTTATTTTATTTTATGCTAATTGCAATTAATTTTATATAATTAAATTTTAAATGCTGTAGCCAAAAATTGAAATATATATACCCGAATTCTAATCTGACTTCGTAGAAATAAGATTTGGAAAGATAATTGTTAGTCGGAGGGAAAAGAACATTGAAAATATTCGTCTTCCTTGTCTTGTAGCTCATAACTTCATTATTCAAATAAACAATTTCTACTTATTTTTTTTGCTTACCTTAACAACGAAATTACATGGACAACAGCAAAAACAACTGTGGTTAAACACAAATGCCATCTCTCTACCATTAATGGTTTTAAGGTTTACGTGGTTCATTATTGTAGTTGGTGTTGGAAGTAGAGCAAAGACAGGAGGAGCCTTGGTCTGGATGGGAACGTCCTTTCTTGGCTAGCTTTTGCTTCAGTTCAGTCAACAAATCCTGGTTCTCCTGGTTCAGCTGTTGAGCCTTCTTCCTCAACCTTTCGTTCTCTTTGATTATGCAGTAGTTCTGCCAATAAAGCTGCGAGTTGAGTTTATCCATCTCCGACCTTCTTTTCGTTCCCCCTGATAACTTTTCTGCAATACCAACAGCACAAACATGGTAAAACTGTAAATCAAATGACTGTAAAAGATGAATAACACAGCTTTAGATGAATTACAAGAAAGGTGGAAGATGGGAGAAAAAGTCCTGTAAATGAAGAGAGTGTTGGAAAAAGTTGATGAGATGAATGAAAGATCATATGAAGCAAACCTTGAATGCCTTAAGTGACAGCATTTTTTCAGAAAATAAGAGATTAAGGGTTTTTGTATGGGGATTTAAATACAAGGTTGACTCAAAAAACAACAAAGGTCATCTGCAAAGCCCCCATGTCTGCCTTCTTTTTCTCCTGTAGGTCATTGATTATGCTGAAACTTTAACGGTTCAAAATACACGAGAGATTGGGTTGGATATGGAAAAAGAAAGAATAAAGTTGATTAAGTTGTTACAAGAGTGTGCAAGTGAAAAGCACCTTAGAGAAAAAAGAAGAGAGATGCTTCAGGGACACGAATAAGATGAGGTATCAAATATCAATACTACACTGATCCTGTTCCCCATTAATCTTGATATTTTTGTCACACCCCGAAGTTGAGGGAAAATTTTGAGGGACCAAGCTGTAAGATGCTCAAGATTTTATGGTAGTGTCTAAATTTTCAGAGAGTCCAGGGATTCAACCTTGAAATTGCCCATTTCTTTAAGCTGGAAAAAAATGATGAAACGAAATAAAATGTGAGTCGGAGGGATTGGACCCGTAATCTACTAGTATAATGTGAGCTAAGTCCTTAGCCATTAGGTTAGGGCTAATATTTGTGATATTCATAATAAAAATAATATTATAATAGTTTGAATAAGATTTTAAATCTAAAAAAATGATTTTTTTTGTGAAACCCCAAAACCCTCTACCCAAACTAAAAACCCATTTCACCCAACCTTTGTCACCGTGCCGTCGTCGATGTGCTCCATCGCCACCAGTTGAAGTAGTGTCCTCCTACGACTTAACCCTAACCGTCATCGACTCCAAAACGTTAGCCATTAGTCGCGAAAAAGGGGAAAATCGTTCGACTTGCCCCTCTCCGTTCGACGCCACTGTCTACCAGTGGGTGTCAAAGCCTAGCTCAAAAGAAGCGCCTCTCCAGCCCGATCAAACCCTACCAGCCGTCGTCGCTAAACGCCTACCGTTCGTCGTGGAAGAATCCATAAAGTTTCACTGGAGAAAATCCTAATCGCTTCAGTTTTTCGTCTTTTTTGATCGACCCGATGTTTGTTTGCCACATCACTTCTACCTTGAGACTTTCGAGGTGCCGATCTACAAGACTGAAAAATTTCACACCAAACCGATGACCGGAGATGCCACACGCCCCGCTTTCTGCGCGTGGGCGTTGTCTGTCAGCTAAGGGGTATGTTGATTGGTTGAACCGGTCTGAACCGGTTGGGTTGGTCTGGACCGAGCCGTTTAAGCCGAGTCACGCCGAGTCGAACTGAGTCGTTGACTGAGCGTTAATCAAGCGTTGATCAGTCATTGACTTTTTGAAAACATCCATCTTGATGTTTTTCGACGTCTTGAGTCTATTTTTAGGTATGTTTTGCCAAATTCGAACCCGATAAGTTTTTTTTCACTGATTAACCTCTCAATTCAATACGTTTTTCGCTTCCATTTCTGATGTAATTGCTATTGATATGTATTCGAGATATTATTGGACGTTGGATTCAAGTTTGAGAGCGATCAAATAGCGTTTAAATGTTCGATCGGTGTAGTTCGAGAATCGAGGTAATACTTTACTACCATATGCATGCTTTATGGTACATGTTGGTATTGCCAAGTGCATGGATGAATATGTTTCATCTCATCTATAGTTAATTATTTCTAAACTCGATTCGAATGTGGTAAAAGTAAGTAACTGAATAAAAATCTAATGGCTTGTATAAGAAATTAGAAGATTTATAAGGAACAATTCCAAGTTCTGTGATTAACCAGCGAAACTTTTAACCTTATAACCCTTAGGATTTGATTACTCTTGTTAAAAAATTGAAACATCGGAAATACCTAGATGAGAAATTATGAAATTACCCTTGAGAGGTAAAAATAACTCGGATTGACACAGATTGAGAAAGTACCCTGAGAATTTTAATCTAATCCGATAAATTAATAATTTAACTGTTAAGTTTCTATTTTGTTCGAAAGATTTCTGATAAACAGTTCGTAACCTCTGAGAAGGCACTAGACCAGAATTTTTGAATTATGAGCATACACCCGAAGACTAACTTATCGAAAGTGCTCTTATTGTCATAATTGTTTGAAATAACTAAAATAAATGACATGTTTGAATTAAATGGAAATAGTGGACGGAATGAAAAGTCTAAAATACCCTTGAACTCTAAAATGACCAAAATACCCCTGAAGTGAGAAATGACCTAAAATACCCCAAAGCCATGGATGATTGAATACCCTTAAGCTCTGGAATGAATAAATCTACCTCAAATACCATAATGATCTAAATAGCCTAATGACTTAGATTAAGCAAATGTCTTTGGATAACTTCTGAAGATACCAATGAAGCTTCAAATGCTATAACACCCCTGAGGTTTTTAGAGTACGACCTAAGTAGGTCGATCATCCTAATACTATTACAATACGGTAAGTAAATAAATATTG